GGATTGTCGGTCTGTTCGCGAAGTTTACGCGTCTCCTCGGCCTCTGAGTCCTGTTCGCCGTGCTCGTGCTCGGCTGCGGCTGATTCTATTGTTGTTGAGGCTCTTCTGGTACATCTGGCGGTGGAGGCTGTCCTTGGACCTGGTCCATGTCCTCCGGCAGTACGTACGCTGGTCTCAGTCGGTCGATGGAGATCGGTGTATTCTTGTAGTTACCCAATCCTCCGGACTTGTACCAAATGACGAAGTATTTGTCATGACGACTGATTACGCGGCATGGGCCGATGTATGGTGATCGGTATGCCATTCGCACGTGGTCATCGCGGAAAAAAACATGTGTACACGTCGCTAGATCCTTGAAGATGAAGGTTGAACGTGTACCGTGACGTGCAGCGGGAGTCGGTGCGATGCTGCGGAAATGCTCGCGTAGATTTCTCACCAATTCCGGTGCTGTTGCTTGTTGGTTCGATGGGATGAGGAATTCTCCGAGTAGACGGATCGGTTCCCCGTATGTTAGCTCGGCGGGAGTCGTTTGAAGGTCCTCTTTCCGCGTGGATCTCAACCCTAGAAGTACCAGGGGAAGTGCGTCATACCAAGCTTCGCCATGACATCGCAGTGCTGCTTTCAGTTGGCGATGTATTCTCTCAACCATACCGTTTGATTGAGAATGAAATGGCGTCGTCATCAACCTCTCGGTGCCCAGAATTCGCGTAAGCTCCTTGAACCGCCCTGGTCAGATGTAATTCTCAGGGGGATGCCGAAGCGCGCGATCCAGTGATAAAGAATCGCGTTGACTACTGTTGGCATCCTCGAGTCGATCAGTGGAAGTGCTTCTGGCTATCCCGTAAATCTGTCGACGATAGTCAGGCACCAGCTGTGTCCTTTTGAGGCAGGAAGAGAGACTAAGTCGACCTGTATGTGTTCGAATCGTCGTGATGGTGTCTCGATGTTAGCTATTGGTGTGACTGCGTGTCGCGTTATTTTGTTTTTCTGGCACTCCAGGCAGTGTTTATTCCATTGGGCACAGTCTTTGTTTATGCCAGGCCACACGTAGCGTTGTGTCACGAGTTTCCGCGTGCCTTTGGGTCCAGGATGAGCCATTGAGTGCTGCGAGCTGCTCCGCTGTTGTCTCAGCGGAGCAGGATCGTATGGGCGAACTGTACCTGATGATACATCACAGTACAGTGGTTCGTACATTCCTGGGAGTTATAAGCGGTCCAGTTGCAGGTTCACGTCCGGTCGCTGGGGTAATTGTCGGAGTTCTTGATCGTCGCGTTGGGCATCTACCAGCTGCTGAGGTGTGATGGCAGTCGTGACTTCCTCTACTCGTGATAGGGCGTCTGCCACGACGTTGTCTGGGCCCGCGACGTATCTGATGTCCGTGGAAAACTGGGCGATGTAGTCCAGTCTCCTTTTTGGGGTTCATACTGCGTGCTTCCACGCCGTGAACCCTGGGTAACGCTGAACGCTGGTATGGCCAAATATACGCCTTACCACCATTTTGAATTTAATTTAATACCTTAATATAATAAATAATAATTTTGCCTTATGGAGGAAAGTACCGAATGGTAAGTCCCGTAAAACTACGTGAACATTCATAATAATATATGAGATGATTCAAAGAGGTTTAAATTCATTAGCAGATTCCCACCCATAATTTTGAAAAATGAATTAGTAGGGGCCGTGGTTGTACACTAAAACCTATATAATTAATTATCAAAAGCTGTGAGGGGGTGGGGGTTAGGACAGTGGAATGCAGTGTCCATTACTTCATACAAAAATTTGAGCATTTATAGGTAGCATCAGCAAAATAAATTTTAGGTGAAAATCTGGCAAAATGGACTCTCGAATGATCATTATTAATATCAATTAGTATGGTTAATGAGTAACTGTTATCGTCATTCTCTCTTATATGCTACAGAAATACATCAGAATGATAATATTCACTTCATACTTGAAATAATGAAACGCAAGACTAGAAATGTTTTTTTCATCATTACTGAAAGAATCATCAGTAATAGCAATTAAATCAGAACGTGAATCCCGGGGATTATAATGTTTGTGGCCCGCTCTATCTCTATTATACTCAAGTACTAGTCTAATCAACATGCTGGAGAACTCCGCTTGAGCAGTTTTGAGTTTATCCGGCGCCAGGCGGCGAGCTCGGCAGGAGATTGGTGGTCCTGGTATGGTCCTTATGTGATGAACGGTGGAGTGCTCCGCTTTTCTGAGCAATCCTCCCGGTTTTGTTATTGCTGGGAACTCTTTGAGGATCGAAGCGTACGGTGAATCCTCATTGATCTCGAGAAGCTTGACAGGCGTAGCGCGGTNGCGACGTATCTGATGTCCGTGGAAAACTGGGCGATGTAGTCCAGTCTCCTTTTTGGGGTTCATACTGCGTGCTTCCACGCCGTGAACCCTGGGTAACGCTGAACGCTGGTATGGCCAAATATACGCCTTACCACCATTTTGAATTTAATTTAATACCTTAATATAATAAATAATAATTTTGCCTTATGGAGGAAAGTACCGAATGGTAAGTCCCGTAAAACTACGTGAACATTCATAATAATATATGAGATGATTCAAAGAGGTTTAAATTCATTAGCAGATTCCCACCCATAATTTTGAAAAATGAATTAGTAGGGGCCGTGGTTGTACACTAAAACCTATATAATTAATTATCAAAAGCTGTGAGGGGGTGGGGGTTAGGACAGTGGAATGCAGTGTCCATTACTTCATACAAAAATTTGAGCATTTATAGGTAGCATCAGCAAAATAAATTTTAGGTGAAAATCTGGCAAAATGGACTCTCGAATGATCATTATTAATATCAATTAGTATGGTTAATGAGTAACTGTTATCGTCATTCTCTCTTATATGCTACAGAAATACATCAGAATGATAATATTCACTTCATACTTGAAATAATGAAACGCAAGACTAGAAATGTTTTTTTCATCATTACTGAAAGAATCATCAGTAATAGCAATTAAATCAGAACGTGAATCCCGGGGATTATAATGTTTGTGGCCCGCTCTATCTCTATTATACTCAAGTACTAGTCTAATCAACATGCTGGAGAACTCCGCTTGAGCAGTTTTGAGTTTATCCGGCGCCAGGCGGCGAGCTCGGCAGGAGATTGGTGGTCCTGGTATGGTCCTTATGTGATGAACGGTGGAGTGCTCCGCTTTTCTGAGCAATCCTCCCGGTTTTGTTATTGCTGGGAACTCTTTGAGGATCGAAGCGTACGGTGAATCCTCATTGATCTCGAGAAGCTTGACAGGCGTAGCGCGGTATCGCGCGGACTGGCCATTCGATTGGAGGCCTGTCGCGCTGTCGATGATTGCTCCGTTTCTCAAGTCCGGTAGCAGACTGAAGTGATGCAGGAAGTCAGCACCGATGATGGGTTTACTGACGTCTGCTTCGATGAATCACCGTGTGAAATCTCTGCGGAGACCGAGATCTGGCGAGATGGACACGTAACCGCACGTGTCGATAAGGGTGCCATTGGCCGCGAAGAGTTTGTAGCCACTGGTCTCCCTTTGGCTTGGTGGCCGCCTCCAAGGCGTGACAGAGACTTCTGAGCCTGTGTCCACTAGGTATTGGGTCCCAGTCGTCCTGTCGGTGATAAATAGGCGGCGGGATTGTGATTAAGAGACGGCTTCCGCCACTATTGTCTCTCTTCGGCGTTTCCCTGAAACTTACAACCAGGTCGACAGTTACGCGCATTATCACCATACTTGTAGTGATACCAGCAGGTGTCAAAATCCTTTGATACTTTCCTCGAGCTGGAGCGTCGGCGCGAGTGGCTGCGCTGACCCTGTGAGCCGTCTCGACGTGTTCGTGAACGCGACCGTGGGTCGCGCATTTGCATGGCGGCAACGGCCGCCGTCAGCTGCTCAATTCGCTCGAGGAGCGCCGTATTGACTGCGTTTGCTGGCGAGCTGGTGATTGCTGCGACGCTGTTCGGGTTGAATACCTCGTGCACCCTGTCTGCTAGCTTTGCGAGATCATCAATGGAAGCGTTCTCCTGGGTGGCGAGTGTAGCTCGCGTCAGCTCGGGGAAATGAGACAACCAGCGCGTTTTCAGGACCTCGTCGTCAATGTCTGGAACAAGACTTTTTAAAATGTCTCAGGTACTTCGACGGAGTTCGATCCCCAATGCTCTCCCTGTCGAGCAATTGGATGATGTTCGCAGTCCTGGATTTTGTGAAACATCTGATTAGTTCGTTTTTAAAGTTTGGTATGGATTTGTTACAGGTCTGGAGACAATTAAATGTTCGACTTCTGCCGCGTAAGCAGTGTCGATCAGCGATACCGTTTTGTTGTACTTATCTGACTCGGTGACGTATCCCAGGTCAGCGAACTGTGTCTCCAGCTGCGCGAACCATAGCGCGGGTTTATCCGCGTCGAACGGCCTTGCGATGAGCTGGGGCCTCATTATAGCCATTGCTGTCGTTACGGTGGGAGTTGTTGAAACTCTCTCTCAGCGTTGTCGTATCCGTGCGTGTGTTACGCGTTGGTTTGTGTGTAGCGAGACGCTACAGGGGGAGGCAGTCGTGCACATACAGTTGTCGTGAGGATGACATCACATAGGAGTGGGGATTACGCGTCGTTGGCGGGAAATTTGATTTTCTCTAGTGCAAGTGATTCCGGCAGTCGGTAATGTAGAGTTCTCTAGTAGAGGGCTCTGATGTGAATCTGCCTGCGGGATTTTTTAAGTTCTGAATGTTGCACTCTGATCTTCTGAAAGTCACATTCTGATCTTTGATTGCTAAATTTTGATTTTCCGAAAGATACATTTTGAATGATACATGCTAATTTGTCATGCAATGTTCTCAAGGATAAAAAGGAGATAAACAAAATCTATTTTTCATTTAAAATATAATATATTTTTTAATCTTCAATATTTCATTGGAAATAATGCATTTTTTTACTCATTGTTTATTCTTTTATAAATTTACACAAAGAGCAGTTCTTTATCATATCAAAATTTTGAATTATGAAGAAATTATCGGGGTAGAGATGAGTTCAGCAGTCGGCAATACAGAGCTCTCCATATGAAACCATTCGCGGGATTTTTGATTCTTATTTACTAACATGATTTTCTTAAGGACAAAAGAATAATGAACGACATATAACACAAAGTATATATGTAATATTTTTTTTTATTTTTAACAATTAATTGTGAATATTACATTTCTCAGTTAATTGTTTCTTGACAGTTGATTAGTAAATGAGAAATATTCCAGTTATTTCCTTCTTATAATCTTCCATTTCCTTAGAAGATTTACATAGGAAACAGTTCTTTATCATTGGTGGTGTCCTGGAAGAATGATGCAGATGACATCGACGGCAATTTGCAATATCCTTGTCCTTTTGCAAGTTCTCAGGCAATCTATCCCATACATCCTCGAGGCTCTGCGAGGCGAACGTCAACAGAAATTTCTTCGGGAAGGCGGAAATGTCCCGGGTGCTCATTTCTTTGAGACTTTTCAGGTTACAGAAAATGTCCAGAGATCTATGCAGACTGACATTTTGATTTTGCATGTACCAAATTCTCAAAGTTTTCACGTTTTCAAGAGCACACACGAATTGAATTGTTTCACAATCGTTATCGGAATTCGCAAATTTCGGAAGCTCCAAGTC